ATTTCAGGGCTGATAGATGTTGACCAATTGAACAATTTTACCCATGTCAGATTTGCTCTAAAAGCTTTAGTTTTGGAGATATAAGCCAAAAACTGCATTTGCCCCTATGTTCTATTTTTAGCCATGGCGGCCATGTTTGTCGATGGATTAAAACTTCGGATACAATTTATAAACTAGATATCCTAAGGAACATTTGGATGAAGTTTGAAGGTATTTGGCCCAGTAGTTTCAGAGGAGAAGATTTTTAAATGTTAGCAAACTTCATGAACAAATTGTGTAAAATTGTCTTTAAAGGGCAATAACTCCTTAAGGGGTCAATTGACAATTTTGGTCATATAAACTTTTTTGTAGATCTTACTTTGCTGAACATTATTGCTGTTTACAGTTTATATCTATCTATAATAATATTCAAAATAATAACAAAAAACTGCAAAATTTCCTTAAAACTACCAATTTAGTGGCAGCAACCCAACAATGAGTTGTTCGATTCGTCTGAAAATTTCAGGGCTGATAGATCTTGACCAATTGAACAAATTTACCCCCATGTCAGATTTGCTCTAAATGCTTTAGTTTTTGAGATATAAGCAAAAAACTGCATTTGACCCCTATGTTCTATGTTTAGCCATGGCGGCCATGTTTGTCGATGGATCAAAACTTTGGATAAAATTTATAAACTAGATACCCTAAGGAACATTTAGTTAAAGTTTGAAGGTATTTGGCCTAGTAGTTTCAGAGGAGAAGATTTTTGAAATAGTTTACAACGACAGACGACGACGACAAACGTCGACGGACGCCAAATGATGGCATAAGCTCACATGGGGCCCTTCGGGCCCCGGTGAGCTAAAAAAGTCCCTGCACCATGAATTAGGGGCAAGGCCTTGAAAAAGTCGTCAAATGATATGTACTGATAGTAATGCAACATTATACAAAATATCATTGATCTATCACAAGTAGTTCCAATCAAACTTACTTTAGCAGAAAACTTAACATTGAAAACTACTAATTAATTCAAAGTCACTTGACCATTACCTAGGGGGCAGGGCCTCAAAATAGTCATCAAAATAATAGGTTTTGATAGTAATGCAACTTTATACAAAATATCATTGATCTATCACAAGTAGTTCCTATCAAACTTACTTTAGCAGAAAACTTAACATTGAAAATTGCTTGTTGATTGAAAGCCTAGGGGGCAGGGCCTCAAAATAGCCGTCAAACTTATATGTGTTTATAGTAAAGCAACTTTATAGACAATATCATTAGTATATCACAAGTACATGAAGTAGTTCCTATCAAACTGACTTGAGCAGAAAACTTAACAATTGTTGACGCTTCAGCCACCGCCAATGCAACCAGAAAAGCAACCCCTATGTCATTCTTTCCGGAACGAAATTCCGAGATTTCATCATATATTGTATAAGATTCATAACATTCATTTGAAGCAAACTTAAGTTAGAGAACATAAACCAATTTTGGGACGTGCAGACAGACAAGGGTATTTAAAAACTTAATGTCCCCGCCACTACGGCGGGGGCATAAAAATTGTAAAATTTGTCATTTTACAGCAATAACTCCTATAAGAAGTAGCCTGACAGTTTTGACGTCAATGAACAATTAGTAGAGCTCAACATTCTGAACATTTTTGCCCTTGTAAGATTTTCGTTTATAATGGTTTTCAAAATAATAGACAAAACTTGTAATTTACCCCTATGTTCTATTTAAGATGATGCCCCCTCTTGCATATAAACTAATAAAGGGACATAATTCTAGAATGTTAAAAGTGACTCTACCAAAAGTTGTACTTGATCTGAGTTTTGAGGTTATAAGCATTGTGTATAAGTTTCATAACATTTGGTTGAGGCTAACTTAAATTAAAGAACGGAAACCAAAAATTCAGCAATTTTTTCCATTTGTAAAGGGGCATAACTCTAGAACGGTAAAAGTGACGCCATCAAAATTCAAACTTGATCTGTGTTTTGTGATAATAAGAATTGTGTATAAGTTTCATAACATTTGGTTGAGGCTTACCTAAGTTAGAGAACAGAAACCAAAAATTTAGCAATTTTTCCATTTGTAAAGGGGCATAACTCTAGAATGGTAAAAGTGACGCCACCAAAATTCAAACTTGATCTGTGTTTTGTGGTAAAAATCATTATGTATAAGATTCATAACATTTGTTCGAGGCAAACTTAAGTTGGAGAATGGAAACCAATTTCGGGACATACAGACAGATAAGGGTAAAACTTAATGCCCCTTCATTACGGCAGGGGCATAAAAATTGAAAAATTTGTCATTTTACAGCAATAACTCCTATAAGAAGTCTTCTGACAGTTTTGACGTCAAAGGACAATTGGTAGAGCTCAACATTCTGAACATTTTGCCCTTGTCAGATTTTCTCTATTTATAATGGTTTTCAAAATAATAGACAAAACTTGCAATTTACCCCTATGTTCTGTTTAAGATGATGCCCCCTTTTGCATATAACCTTATAAAGGGACATAATTCAAGAACGCTAAAAGTGACTCTACCAAAAGTTGTACTTGATCTGAGTTTTGTGATCCGAGTTTGGTAGTAATAAGCATTGTTTATAAGTTTCATAACATTTGGTTGAGGCTAACTTAAGTTAGAGAACGGAAACCAAAAATTCAGCAATTTTTTCCATTTGTAAAGGGGCATAACTCTAGAACGGTAAAAGTGACGCCATCAAAATTCAAACTTGATCTGTGTTTTGTGGTAAAAAGCATTGCCTATAAGATTCATTACATTTGTTTGAGGCAAACTTAAGTTAGAGAACGTAAACCAATTTCGGGAAGTACAGACAAACAAGGGTATTTAAAAACTTAATGCCTACTCCACTATGGTGGGGGCATAAAAATTGTAAAAATTTGTCATTTTACAGCAATTACTCCTATAAGAAGTCTTCTGACAGTTTTGACGTCAATGAACAATTGGTAGTATAGAGCTCAACATTCTGAACATTTTTGCCCTTTTCCGATTTTCTCTATTTATAATGGTTTTCAAAATTATAGACAAAACTTGCAATTTACCCATATGTTCTATGTTTAGCCATGTCGGCCAACATGGTTGACAGGAGGGGTCATTCAACACATTTTTTAAACTATAAACCCTAATGATGATTGTGGCCAAGTTTGGTTAAATTTGAATCAGTAGTTTCAGAGAAGATTTTTTGTAAAAGTTGATGATGATGACGGATACAAAGCGATGAGAAAAGCTCATTTGAAAGGGACATGGAGTTAAAAAAAACTTAAACCCTAGACTGTATCTAAATCCTTAAACTAAAAAGAAAACTAAGTCCATTTTTGAGTAAAGTACACAAAAAAATAATCAAATTTGCTCTGGAAGCCGTCTCTTGATCATGATGAATTTGAACCTTCTGTCCATTTAAGGCCATAATTGTGGCCAAGTATGGTTAAATTTGGTCCAGTTGTTTCAGAGGAAAAGATTTTTATAATAGTTAACGAACGATGGTGAAGGATGCCAAGTGATGAGAAAAGCTCACTTTGCCCTTTGGGCCAGGTGAGCTAAAAAGGTTGAATATTAATTATTTCATCATGTTTATTTTTTCATAACATTATACTTGACTTTTATACCAATGTATGCCATGTATATGTTTGCATTTTTGTTTTGCAACAATTTTTTGGTTATGCATTTCTATTATGTCTGAGGCCTCAGAAAATATTAGTTATATAACCAACTGTGTAAACCCTCTTGAAATAAAGTATTGTTGTTGTTGTTGTTGTTATAAGACCACAATATTTCTTATGCTGGTACAAAGAGAAATATTGGTCATTTGCGATGAAAAAAAACGTTTACAGATGAATAAATTATAGCCATAAATCTTGCATGTATAAATGTACCTACTATATAAAGCTATGTTTGAACTGACTTTGTATTTTGGTTTATTAGCCCAATTGTGACACATGACATTATCAACGTGTGGGTTATATAAAATGTTTTCGAACTGGTCAGAACTGATTTAAACTTGAAAAATTAGAGTTATGCAGTCCACACCTTATATAACATCATAACCTTATAAAAAAGAGAAAATGCGTCACAAAAATTGAAAAAGGCTGAGTTATAAGTTCTGACTGATCTGCATCAATGGCAGACAAAATTACCCTCTCTTTGTGTGTAAGGACAAAATATCCACACATAGGAAAAATTAAAACTTAAGCAGACAACAGATTGTATACATTTGGAAAACAATCAATTCGGAAAGAAGTATTTGTCACTGACACGGGTGAAGGCAGTCTTTCACTGCTTCGTTCTGACAAGGTTTTGGTGCAAGTTAGTGACAAAGTGTCGAGCTGAAATTCATTTAACATCTTTGAACCAGACTTTCATGATACAATTAGTGTTGTACAGGAGTTTGATAAGACTTTAAAATAGGTAACTTTTGAAGTTACGCATGAAGAAACCATTCAAAATGTAGAAAGCTGCTTATCAATAACAGGGTACAATTCACAGAAAAGGTGAACACAAAGCTTGATGTTTAGTATCAACACAAAAAAGGAGTTTTTCAAGCGTTATGTTTTCTATATGTCTGACAAATACATTTAAAAAAAGTCACGAAAAAAAAAACACCTAACTACCCACCAGCAAAAAACTTGGTAGGGGTGTGGGGAAACAAGGATTTATTTAATTACGGCCTTATGTATTTTGCTTCAATTATTAGTCCCAACTGTGATATACGACAATGAATTTAGGGTTTTAAAAAATTTATCTAAATGGTCAGAACTGCTTTAAACTTTAAAATTATAGAAATGCAGTCATCATCTTAGATAACATCATAATCTTGTACAAATGAGGAAACATGAAAACAATATTTTGACAATTTCATGTCCTGTGGAATGGTCAGCAATGGTTTTGACAAACTTATACCATTATAAGACCACAATGCTTATGTTTAGGTAAAAAAATTGGTCATCATAGATGAAAATATGGCGTTTACAGAAAAATTAAATCAAAGCCAGTGTTCTTACCTTAAAGCAATGTTTAAACTGACTATGTATTTTGGTTTATTCGTCCAATTGTCTCTAACTATAATCGACCTTGACATTAAATACTGCACTCTATCTCCATTAATTCTTACACGGAAAACTGTTGTTGTCATAGGTGACTTCATAACTACAAAACAGAAACCACATCATTAGATCATCTCACTGCATGTTCTTCTGAAGTCATTTATATCTAATGGTGTTTTATGATATGTGAACACCCAATATGCCTTTTAGTGCTTAAAATAGATCTTTATCTTGTCTCAAGTCATGGAACATTCAGTTTAAATGCATTATTATGTGACTTCACATTTATTCTATTTTTTTTTTAGCTATTTCTCATGATAAATACAATCATTGGAGTATAGCACTTCCTAAACCCTGCACAAAAGTTTAAACAGTATAATTTATACCTGTTGAAAAGAAAGTGCACAAATTAAAGGGAAATAGGTCAGATGAATGAGAAGTAAGTTAACTCACTCCATAGAGCTTATGTTTTCTGCATACTAATATTCATCTATAAATAAAGTTTTCGAACTCTGTAGGGGAATTTTGTAAGCATAGCTAGGTGATAAATCTGACAACACATTATTCAAATTTACTTCTATCAGTCAGGGGTACTACTTGTACAAGTAATTTTTATTTACTTGAAGAAGTAAATATTAATAAATTTATATAAGTAAATTTGTAGGATACTTATACAAGTGTATTTTATTTACTTGTATAGGTAAAAAAAAATGGGATAAGTTATGTCCCTTAGACAAAAAGATTTTTTTACTTATACAAGTAAAAAAGTCATCCTATCTTCTTTTCTTGAATTCTTAGGACTTCTTTGCTCTAAAAGAATTTTTGATTGTCTGTCCTTTGCAGATGTCTTTACTAATCATTTAAGTGTAATTTGATGGACAATGAAAATCTCATTTGTCTGTTATTTCAGAGCACTGCTCATTTACAAGCCCCCAAGGGGCAATTTTTGAAAGCCTTGCGCAAATACTTAAGATCTTTGTGCAATCAGTTTCTTTGTTGAATTAATGAGATGAAACATTGAACTCTAATCAAAAATTATGAGCTAACCTGAGAAAAATTGTTAAAGGCATGTTTTCACATCTCAAAACTTGAGAATTTTTGTCGGATTGTAAAAAAATTTACTTATACAAGTAAATTTTTGAGAAAATTAAAGGGAGATTATTCAAACATTATAATTAACTTATATAAGTTTATTTTATTTACTTCTTCAAGTAAATAAAGATTACTTGTACAAGTAGTACCCCTGACTGTCTATTCTTAATAATAAACTGATAACACTGAGATATGTCTCTCCTTTTTGTTATTTTGATAGCAAAATGCAAATGTTGAAATTAAAATAGCTAATACTTGACACGTAATCTATGCAGAATATTCAAAGTAAATGAACCATGACTGAAGGTACAGGGCCAAACAATCTCCATGGAAATGAGATGTGCCAAATGATGCTAATACATATATATCATTGACCTACTATTAGACATTCCCCAATAACTGACCCAATCACAAACTAATACATGTAAACTAAGCAAAAGTTTCAAAGTCAATAGACCATGACTGAGGCGGCGGTGCCAAATAATCTCCATTGAAATGAGATGTGCCAACGCTAAAACAACTGCATACCAAATATCATTGATCTACCATTAGTGGTTCACCATAAACTGACCTAATCACAAACTAATACATGTAAACTATGCAAAAGTTTCAAAGTCAAAAGACCATGACTGAGGGGCGATGCCAAATAATCTCCATGGAAATGAGATGTGCCAACGCTAAAACAACTGCATACCAAATATCATTGATCTACCACTAGTGGTTCCCTATAGACTGACCTAATCACAAACTAATACATGTAAACTAAGCAAAAATTTCAAAGTCAATAGACCATGACTGAGGGGATAGGGCCAAATAATCTCCATGGAAATGAGATGTGCCAATGCTGAAACAACTGCATACCAAATATCATTGACCTACTACTAGTAGTTCACCATTATAGCTGACCTAATCACAAACTAATATATGTTAACAATGCAAAAGTTTCAAAGTCAATAGACCATGACTGAGGGGGCAGGGCCAAATTATCACCATGGAAATGAGATGTGCCAATGCTGATACAACTGCATACAAATATCATTGACCTACCACTTGTGGTTCCCCACAAAACTGACCTAATCACAAACTAATACACTGTTGCCGCCGCTGCCGAGGTTGACTCTGCCGTAAACAGCATACCTATGTCTAGCTTTTTGACTCCGTTGATGCGAGACAAAAACTTAATGGTTACATGTGCATGATGTGTTAGAAGAGTTTCATTATTCAGTTTGAGTAAAATGACAGTATGGCCATCTTCCTTTTGTGCTTTCCTAAAGTATCCATAGTAAATGTCATAGCACTTCAAAGTTGATGCAGCCATCTATTAAAGTAGGGTTACATGTACACAACAGGGCAACCTGATGCCATGAAAATGAAATACTATTTTCAAGACGTTTAGCCCTATAATAAATTGATCATGTGATTTTTAGAGGCTGTACTTATGTTGTGCTGGGACACAACTGTCCTAGGTTAAGTATGGGGAGGTGGTTTGAGACTACTTACAATGTTTATCCCAGTCACATTTTACATGTGCCTGTAATTCAGTGGTTGCTAAGTTCATTGCTGTCTGTCATATTTGTTTGTTGTTTATTGTTTTATTATAAATCAGGCCTTTGTTTTTTTTCATTATACCCCTGCTTCAAGCTAAGAAAACAGGCTTCATGCATAGAAGAAAAAAATCAAAGCCCATTGAAAAGGCAGTTTTTGTCTACTGAATGTTTCTGTGAACACAGGTTTTATGTGTCTTCTCTGTTTGCAAAACACTTTTTAAGAACCGAGAAAATAAAACACTTTGCTAAAACCTCATGATATCTTTTTTCTCTTCCCTTTCTGCATATTCATTTGATTTTTAAAAATGCTTTTCAAAGATTTACATGCTAACCAGTATTTTGCATTTAGTTGATTTCAAAATTTTGAACAAATTTAAAAAAATCACCAAAAGATTGAAAACAACGATAATCTTAAATTCACTCATGTATGAGATAGGCATGTTTGTTCAATCATGTTTTTGGTTATTTGATTTCTTGGATTTGTTATTCCCAATTCTAATATGGTGTTCTTCAAACACTTGAGTACACACGTTGGAAAATATAAACATATTGATATGTCAGCTCATCGTCAATGTCATGGATTGTTTAGGCTGTTCAAATCTTATTCCCACATCATTTGCTTTTTATGAATGAGTTACCCGAGGTCAGACTATATAAATGAGTATGTCATTGAGCAATGAGGTAAGAATGTAAGCATTCTACAGGAAAATGCAGGAATGTGAAACTGGAAGTTGTCAAAACATGAAAACATAAACAAAGGATGATAAGAATTTGTTAAAATCCAATTTTCCTAAATAAAAGTAAGATAATCAATTAACTTCATCCAAACCTGTCTCAGTATGTTAGTGTAAATCATTTAAGCATCAATGTCCCCAATTCATTTCTCTCTGTCTTTAACATCACTATATATAGTGTGTTCAATTACAGGAACAGCAAACATTTCCCTTCACCTACAGTGCTTTGATCCAAAAAGAATTGCTGTCTTTATCATATTAGAATAGAAATATTTCATGGGGGCTTGAACTTATATTGATTTTACCACAGGTTGACCCTCCCTGCTGATATTTAACCCCTCGCTATTGCTCGTGGTAAAATATTTAGCATAAAGGGCCAACCCGTGGTAAAATCACAATAAATTCAAGTCACAATGAATTATTTCTTTAAAAAATAACAATAAGGATTTTGCAAAGCTTAGTTAAAATTAGCCAAGCTTCTGAGGTGAAGAAAAATTCTAATGTACATGCATTCACATTCTGTGAAACATTATTGATTCTGTACTTATATCATTAAATTAATACATTTTTTTTCTGAAGTAAATATTAAACACGAGCACATGAACTGGGATGTCTCTCCTGTTTTACTAATCATCATTGAACTTTATGCTGAAATTCTTTAATAAGGATCAAGGTTTTTACTACAGATATCAAATAAACTTAACAATATCTAGATACATGAAAATAAAATAAAGTTCAATTGAATCCTGCCAGACAGACATGTACACATAACAATTATTCTATACACTAAATATAGTGGGCTTTATGTTGTTTATAGTACCTGAAAAACAAGCTCTACCACAAAAACTTAAGGTTAACTTTGGTTGGGTTGTTGTCTCTTTGACACATTCCCCATTTCCATTCTCAATTTTACTGCTTATCTAATTCCATTATGTAAGTATCTGAGAAATGGACCTAATCACAGAAACTGTTTCTAAAGGTCACACTCACTATATCATACTCAACAAACAGCTATATATAAGAATTGCCCTTTGAAACATTGAAGTAAAGATACTGTTTAAGAAGTATGTGCTAATTGATTGTCCTAATACTGACGTCATAGAATAATTTTGTTCTGAGAATGCCTCATCCTTTTTGTCAATTAATTTCCTATTAGCACATCATTCTGGGTAAGGATATTTCAGGATTGTCCCAAGGACATTTTCATTCAGTTGGTTCATGGGAAGGATTTTCCCTTTATGTTTGTTTTTCTCACATGGCAGCATGTTATCATTATAGTTACGATGTACAACAAATATAAATTCTTTTTGACAAATTTGATAGTCCTGAAAATGGATTATGACAAATCTTCCTTTGCACCAGATGAATTTCCAAATTTAAATGTTGCCCTTTTGTTTACAGATGCCAGTGACATTATTTTTATGGGAGATAACTCATTTACATGTCAAAGAGGCTCAAGATGGTTATTCACCTAACATTATAAATTTAAGGGTTATTCTTTATTCCTATCATTTAAATGAAGATTACCTTTATCATTTCATGTCACATGATTATGTATTACCCAATAGAATTATGTAAGGTATAACAATATTAATAAAACAATTGGAAACATTCGTAAAGGGTTCTGCAGAACTTGTATTTTACCTGTTATTGCCATAGTCAGAGTTAAAGTGTAATGTTGACTGCTGAAACTAAGTCAATAATATATCGATAAAATACAGACAAAAATA